TCTCTCTCTCTCTCTCTCTCTCTCTCTCTCTCTCTCTCTCTCTCTCTCTCTCTCTCTCTCTCTCTCTCTACCACCCACAATGTCCGTGCATGTGCTTGCGCGCGTGCCCGTCGCTATACCAACGGAGTGAAAGGAGCCTGCATACATGCACATAGATCCGAGGGAGGGCACAGAAAAGAAGAGAGACGGTCGCTGAGGGAACGGGAAAGTAACGGCCGACCTCAGGTAGATATGGGTAGATTTCGTCGTCACTTACATTAAGTCATTGCTGAGCCGGTCGACAAAACACTCCCGCGGGCATTCGCTTGCTTCCTCACCTTCGGCCGCTCCCCGATTAGCGAACCCCACCGAGCCACTTATGCACTGCCTTTCTGCGGATCCGGAGCGGTCCTCCAGCGAGGGGCTGCACGGGCGCTCCTCAGTGGCAGGGTTGTACCCACCGCCAATGTTCGTTTTCTGAAATATGTCCGTCGACGCACCATATCTCCCCCCCGTGCCAGAACGCGCCCCCTCATCTTGCATTGAGGTTATCATCCGATCTTTGCCAACAAGTCGTCCTCCCAAAGATCTCTCACCCGCTTCTGAGGACGATGGATATAGCGAATACGACGACGTGTTGCCTATCCCCGTCGTTTCTCGTTTGGTCTTTCGACGCTTCACAAAGTTGTTATTGCTGCTCACTTCTTTCAAGGAGTGAATTCTCTTCACAGGATGCCTCGATTCCCTGACAGGGAGAAACTCCCCACTTGTCCCGCTCGTGCTTGCAAGCCGTTTTTGTTCAATAACCATGGCGTTGCCTCTTTCCCTCGCACTCCCTTCTCCCCATCCTCCCGGTTCTTCGCTGCCCCCAGAGTTCCTCTCCTGAAAACCTGCTTGCGCGGCTTCTATACCTTCCAACGGACAGTTTCCAAGAGAATGCAAAGCTGCTTCCAGAAGTGCCCGATCTTTTGACCGCGCCGAAGCCTCGACTTCAAAAGACTGCTTACCCCATCGTCCCGCTTCCCACGCGAAATCTTCGCTCTCTACCTTGCTGATGCAAGCGGCAGCTGCACGTGCCCGATGACGCAGTTCAAGATCGGCGGCTCGGAAAGCAGCAGCGTGGCGCTTGCCGGCCCACGGTGAGTTATCAAGTCCTCCCCACAACCAAATGTCCCATGCCCGCTCATCCCTGACGTACTTCTTGCCCCCGTCCCCCACCCACATACTCCCCCGAGTCGAAGACCCGACCCCATCCCCATCCCCACCCGCACCCTGCCGTCCAACTCCCCTCCCGACGTGCCCATCCAAGTTTCCCCGAGCCTCCATCACCGCCCGCGCTACCACATCCGACAATCCCCTCACATGTGAAGTCATTCAACAGTCACTAAGCTGCAGTCCAGATCTACCACAATATCCCACCCACCTCCCTCTCTCTCTCTCTCTATCTACCACAATATCCCACCCACCTCCCTCTCTCTCTCTCTCTCTCTCTCTCTCTCTCTCTCTCTCTCTCTCTCTCTCTCTCTCTCTCTCTCTCTCTCNTCTCTCTCTCTCTCTCTCTCTCTCTCTCTCTCTCTCTCTCTCTCTCTCTCTCTCTCTCTCTCTCTCTCGCTCGCTCGCTCGCTCGCTCGCTCGCTCGCTCGCTCTCTCTCTCTCTCTCAGCAGGCTACCCTGGACGAAGGGTATAGATCTCCACGGCGTGCCTGCACATGGCAGGGCGATATTCGCAGCCGCTCGTGCAAACCATAATAGTCACTATTTCCAAGGAGAGGACCTACCGCCAGCCAGAAGATCCGTGGCCGCAGCCACGCGATCGAGCTAGCCGGCGGCTTTGACACCTGTTCGCAGCAAATGATATTTACCAGCTCGGCATTGCCCGTGTCTTCCCGGCTCAGCTAGCCATGGACAGCAAGACAGCTCCGCTCACCGAGTCAATTGCCTCTTCCGTTCACGTCCCCTCTCCTTCTTCTTTCGTCCCGCTTCCCTCAGGCTCACTTCCGTTTTGCACAAAGATCGAAACAAGGTTTACCCAGAACGCAAAGCAAAGCTCCGATCCACGCAACCAGTCACCCAGCCAACTCTGTTGATTTCTTGGGATACAGTGTAAGCGACTGACTGCCCTGCAACACCACAGATCAAGACCAAAAAAACGTGCACCCACCCACTGCCCCCTATCGAGTTCAAGATATGAAACTCGAGGTCTTCTTCACCGCCCCGAACCAGACACATCTCCCGCACTTTGGTCTGTATACTAGCCCATGCATCGACGTCACTCACCTGCCGCACATTCTTTCTCGCACACGTTCTCAATGGACCTCGACTACCGCAGTCTTTCCTTCATCACCTCTCCCTCACAGGTAGGCAAGCAAACCACCTCCGTTCTCCAATCTTGACCGATTGCAGTCCAGCGAACTGACTTCTGTTCTTCTGTTCACTGCTTGCCTGCCGTCTGTTGTTCCTAACGCTTCAAGATCGCACGTGTTGCCCAAACGCGCCACTCACCCGCGCTGGCTGCTGACTGATCGCCAGACGGCACGGCAGAGAGGAACTCGAAGACAAATGCCGTACGAGGGACGACGCCCCAACCACACAATACAAAGAATTCCCAGCAAAACGGATGCTTCTTGCTGCCGCCGATGAACGGCTTGCAGGGAGCGGCTTGACCTGGCTCTAGGGCACGCGGACAGACGGCTGCATCCTTGTCTGCCCTACGACCTCGAACCGGTAGCGAGAAGCGCTCCCGCCCTACCAGCGGTCTGCCAGATCAGTCGTCGCCAAGGTGGACCGTACGGACGCGGACGTCCATGCCACGCACACGACCACGCGATCCGCCCGCCAGTACGAGACGTAGCCAGCCAGCCAACCCGGCGGAATCCGAGTTGCGCCTCCCACCCCACGAATCCACCCGCCCTTTCAGATGCGGCAGCCACCGTGGATGCGCGGACGCGGACCGCTGACACGCCCCAGTTCCGACGAAGATCGTTTCCGCACATGGGCGGCGGTCACCCCCTGCTCCTCGCCCGCCCACCGCAGGGCACGCTCACACTAGGTACCAAATCCCCATTTCCCCAAAAAAAAAGGGTTCACGGACAGTCACACATGGTGAACATCTTCCCAAATTCTCAAAAGGGGTGACCATTTGTCAGCGGCCTGCGAAGCCGCGGGGGAAGGAAATTTGCGGTAACCTCTGGAGGTTACCGCAAATTCTCAAATCTTTTTCCGAATTCCGTGCAAAATTGGAGAAAAAATGGAACCCCACGATATTAGCGGCCTATCAATTGACGAAAAGGAGATTTGGGGAAATGGGCGGATTTGGGGAAATGGGCGCACGCTACGCGCGTGGCCCTTTTTTTGTTTCCATCCCTTGTTGATCCAGTTGTCGTTAGCCTGCCGTGCGGCTTTCGTCGTTATTTTCGCGTTGAAGAACTGGGCGTTACGTTTCCGTGTCCGCCTCCAGCCCCTTGTGCGCATGTTTTCACATGCCTTGCGCCCGTGTTCCGCTGGCTTCCCCGCTTCTCCGCCCTCTTCCCCCCAGTTCCGCCTGCTGTTTCTTGCTGTGTCCCCTTGTCCCAAACGGACGACGAAGGATCGATTCCCTTCAACTGTATTCCAATTTCTGCCCCTGGCCCATGTGTTTCGTTGCTTCGCTGCAAGGCCGATGAATGTATGTGGGTCGGAAGTGGCTTCAGATGAACTGTAGTTGCCTGTGTGCCGTCCACAACCCCAAAGCCCCATAGCCCGGTGGCTGTGCCTGGTCCCAAACCAAGTGCACGAAGCCTAGTCAAAGTTGTATCGAGAGAAAAAAATAAATTGTAAAGAATCTGGGTCGAACACGGGTAGAGATGCATGAAAAAAATAATAATAAAAATCAAATAAAATCCTGTTATCGATTCCGCTGTGCACTTCATGTATATGCCTGAAAAAAGGGTCCAGGTGCATTCAAATTGTATGTGTCCCATTGTGCATTTTTAGGATGGCGCATGTTGCAGACTTCATGAAATGGTGCATGGGAACTTCCAGCCTGGTGGAAACTGCACGAACTGCACGCAGCAAACACTCCAACTTCCTTGTGTCCCTCGTCTGGCCAGTGGAGCCGGACAAGGAGAATCTTCCCTTCACAAACTCTTGCATATACATGCAAAACATGCGGAGCAATGCCCGCTTCCTCTGCACACCGAGCGTAGCCATGGATTCTCTGAATGTTGTAGACGGATGCCCGTGGATGACTGCCTCTCTTGTAGTTCGACGGCCTCCAACCTCCCTGCCACAATGCGTACAATACTCACGGAAGTTCCAAGACACGTCACTACACTGCGTATGGTAGGCGGATGCCCTTGGACGACTGCCTCGCTTCTTAACAATTGTAGTTCGACGGCCCCCCGCCTCCCTGTCCCAACACCTAGACTGATCACAGATGCCCCAAGAGATGTCACCACACTGCTCTCCTATGCTCAGAAAGATGTCGCCACAATTTCCCTTGCACTCCCACCCTTGTGAAGCTATGGCGTGCACAACAGTAACGGATGCTCCAACACCAGACGCCACACTTTCCCTTGCACCGTACCAGGAGGCCGCCCTATGCAGCTGAAGCGTCAGTCCAGTTTAGCTCGGCACTGATCCGGTCGCTCGCTATACAAGGCCGGTCCCTGATTTTACCCTGGGGTGCTCCAGCAGGCGGCATCGGGCCGCACTCCACACAGCACCAGCAGAGAGGTTCGTATGGCCACCCGTTGGTGTGAACGGCCAGCAGTAACGACCCAAAAAGAAAAAGAAGGAAAAAACGAATAATTGCATTTTTTATTATTTTTTTGAGAATAATTGCATTTCCGATTTGAGGTATCCACCGTGTGACTAGCGCACTCCCCAAGCACCTCGCAGAATACGATGTTGCGACCTTGTCGTTAGCGTTTTGGGAGCACAGTGTGACCGACCAGGGCCGCATTTCCTCAAAACGACCGTTCCCATTTTCCCATTTTTTTGCGAATTTGGTACCTAGTGTGAGCGTGCCCGCAGAAAGACAGCCAGCTGCGCGGAGCCGTATTTTTCGTCTTCTTGGCGGCACCGCTCCTTTTTCGTTTTCCTCCTTTTTTGTACAACAAGCACAAACAATAGCTGCAGACTACCTGCACCGAGCGCCCCGCGCGCGCGCAGTTCCACCTCCAACCAGGGAAAATATTGTCAAGCCCGTACGGTGCAGTACGCTCTCCGCCCTACCTTCTTCCACCTTACGCCGAGCCTTACGCCTCGGACCGAACCTCCTTTCCCTGAGGTGTTCCAATTTTTTCCCGTCAGTTCTCGAGCTCTCTTCCTCGTCGTGCTGCTGGTCCGTGTGGGAAGGAGCTGAAACACTCGCCCGTGCACGGATGCTAAACGACAAACCGCAGTAAAATATCTTCGCCCCGGTCGTTGTCATTGCAGATACGGTCCGATGCCAGCGCCACAATGCAAAGCATTCAAAAAAATAAAAAAAAACAAAAACAAAAGAAAGAAAGAAAAAACAACGCGAAGCCTCTCGAGGAGTCGTTTGCAGGTTCACTTCAACCCGAGAAAATAGAAAGACGACAAGATCCTCTGAGGGAGGATTCGATTGCCGGTCGTTGCAGCCCGAACCGCGAGGCTGGACGTGTCAAAATGCTCCTGACCACCAGTTGCGGCGAGGTCTTTATCCTAATCTGGACGCAGAAGATGTGCAGGTCCATTTTGGCCGCGTGGCACATTGGATCCACATTGGGACTTTTTCACGATATGCGCTTTGGACGTCAGCCGTACGATTCCCATAGTCCTCACTCCACTACTCAACACTTTACATGTACCAGGACGGAAATTCGCCCAAGATACAGTCAGACAGATACACGTTTTGGAGAGCAACAGAAGGTCCCGATACATTTAGAAAGTTGTGCAGTGCAGTCCTTGCCTGCATTGTCTCTTGGGAGGCCACCTAATGCGGCAGGACCTTGGTTGATGTTGTTGGTTGCAACACTATTCGCCATTGGTCATCTCGATCAATCAAAATAAGAATGGACGGCCCTATGGGGGTATCAATCAAAATGAGAATGAATGGCCCTGTGGGGGTTCGGGGTAGCCCGCAGCATTGTACCGCTGTGACACCCTAGGTCGAGGAGGCCGGCCGCAGGCCCGCAGCCGAGTTTATGCGCGGCCTCGCCAGGGCCAGGCGGTGGTGCGCGCGTAAAAACAGTCGGCATGCCCCGCCTGCGCACGTCCGCCACTACCACCCTGTACAAAAAGGGGAAAAAAAATGAAAATTTGGGGGAGGGGGGTTTGGTGAGTGACAAAAATAATTAAAAATTTTGAAAAAAAAATAAATATTGATTGATTGTTTGATTGATTATTGATTGATTGATTGATTGGTTAGTGAGTTGATTGATTGATTGGTGGGGGAGGGGTCCTCCCTCTCCTCCCCCCGACACACGTACCCGCGCATGCACACACACACACACACACACACACACACGCAAACTCTCTCTCTCTCTCTCTCTCTCTCTCTCTCTCTCTCTCTCTCTCTCTTTCACACACACACACAAAATCAATCAATCAATCAATCAACCAAACCAATCAAGATCCTATCGAATCGATAGGATCTTGATTGGTTTGATTGATTGATTGATTTGATTGATTTGATTGATTTGTTACGATCCTGGTCATTCCCAAAGTGCAAATTCACAATGAAAGACGATGCCACTCAATTGTGAAAGAAATGAAAGCACTTGCAAAGAGATAGAGACCAGAGGAGGGAGAAAGAAGAAGAAGATGCACACCATCAAGACCAATGACAATTCCCCCCTTTTCTCTCCACCTTCCTCCTCCTCCTTCACTTCGCCCATCTTATTATTCTCCCAATAATAATAATAACAATGATTGGATGAACCAGAATCAATATCCGAAGTTCCCTCTTACTGTTGACTCAACAACAACAACAACAACAAGTCCACCATAGTTATAGCTTCCCTCCATCTGCCTCCTCTCACATGCATAGGCTATGATGGACTACTGAGGGTCCTCCCCTCCTGTCCAAAGGACAACCCAAAGCAGCTATGGCGCTGCACTCCTGTCCAAAGGACAATCCAAAGCAACTATGTTGCTGCTGACTGGTCCGCCATGCCTGACTCTGCCTCAAGCTTCCTTGGTGCGGCACTACCCCAACTGGGGCCTTCCAGATGCAGCGCCCAATAAGGTGATGAAGACGGTGTCCACCATAGCCAGGTAGGTGCCTCGCCACTCTCCTCCTTCGCCCCCTTCTTCCTCCTCCTCAGGCTAGGTTGCTCGCGATAGTCAGGTTGAGCGCCAGCTGCCCTTGACCTCCAAGCAGCGCTGTATCAGCCCAGCGTTGTGCTCCAGTAGCATGTCGCCAATGCTTGCATACCACAAATGAGGAGGAACTACTTGCTCCTCCGGAAGATATTGCGGCCTATTGGCCTCTTGGGCGGTGACTTCCTAGGCCGAGCGGCCTCCCAACAACCGGTACCTCCTCCCTTTCGGAGGGAAACATCATTGCAGGCTCTGCTATCCTCCSKACAGGCYCTAGAMCCGGGCTACTTGGACTGGTACCGGCCTACCKCTAKCCTACCGCTACTGGGCCTCTAAAAATGCYAACTTTTTGTCTTYTTCTGCTYGGCCTCCAGTACCCGACACTTCTACCACTACTTCAGTGGTACCGGCCTACCTGCTACTTGAGTGTTTTTCCCCTTTGCTCTAAGTGTCGCGGGCCTACCCCCGCTACTCGAGTGTTTTCCCCCTGCAACCCTCAAAGTCACGGCCATAGGTAAGTACCAGCCCTGCGGGGCCTTTTAA